TGTGTTGCCCAGTGATGTTTTACTGAGGGCCTAGGCTGGAGATGCTATGGCTTTGAGTTTGATAGGCATGGTGCTGGTATGAGGTTTTTGGTTGGTTGTGGCATTTTCAGGTTATGTGTTTGTATATTCTTGAGGGTGAGGCTTTTTGCATTGGTTTGAATAGGTTTTTTTTTTACTGATAAAGCTTCAACAGGTTGGAGTTTAACAGTAGGCTTTTTGTTGTTATCGTTTTACAGGATATCAGGTTTTTGAACTTGGTTTTGAGTTTTTTTTGGTTCGTAACCGGTTTAACAAGGTTTGGGTGGATTCATGTAGGTGCAGGTTCTGGGTATTGGTGATTCTGGTTTAATGTTTGGATGATGCAGGCAGCAGGTTATGTTGTTGGACCTGGTGCGCTTCTGGCTTTATCAGGTTTTTTATGTGCTTGATGGTTGTTTCAGGTTTTATATTCTGTTAGTAGATTGGTATGGTTTTGGTTATATGGTTATGGTGGGTTTTGTGTTTTGTTGTGAGGCTTCAGTTTTGTAGGTACTGTGTTTGGTTGTTCAGTTTATGGACTGCAGGTTGATGGCATTAGCAGGTTATCAGTTTGAAGCTTGAGGTTGTGTGTTTTTCAAAGATGATGCAAGCTCTGAGTTTTGTATATCTTTCTCTTTTCTATCTCCTCTGAACTGAGTTCTCTTCTTTTTTGTTATATCTCTTTTGTTGTCTTCTGCCCACCGTCTATGCCTAAGACCTGAACTCTGCCTATGCTCTTTATCTCCCCTTTTCTCTCCAAAAGTACAGTTAAGAATATATTATGATTTTTTGTTGTACTTTGTTCTGAAGGGGCCTATGGGAAATGATGATTAATATGTTTAGCTTGCATAACACATTTTCTGCATCTTTATCTTGCTTTGACAGTTTGTGTGCTGACTTTGCATTGATATCTTTCCAAAATCCTTCTTTGACAGCTTGGGATAGATTTTGACAGCAATTGTACTTCCTTGATTTTCTTTGATATCTTTGGCATTTAAGTGGGAATTGGACTTTTCAGTTTAGTTTGAATTGGAAGTCTGCAGTTTGAACTTTTAGAAATTATGCATTTTGACATTCATGAATAAAAAATGGAATTCTTCCCTCTTTGTGAACCGGGAGAAATCCCGTGATTTGCAGAGAGGGTCAACTGATCCCAGTCAGTGGCCTCTAATGATGAGCAAATTTAACTGTCTTTTAATTAACTGCTTTCTGACTTTTCTTGCTTCTTTTTGCAGATAAAAAATGGAGCACCGGAGCGGAGTGAAGAATTAGAAATAGGATAGAATATTATTTTATGTAATATTTAAATTAATGTATATTATTGTTCATAATTTAAATTATAAACAACAATTTGTACAAATAATTCAAATATCAATAAAATCTAAATTATCCAATTAGTTCTAATTTTCTTTATTGTTTATTTACTTATTTAAAATTCTTTGAATTAAAACAATTGAAAAATAAATTTCAATCATTCAATTTTAGAATAATAAATAACTTAAATAAAATCAATATTGATCAATTAAACCTGTCTTATTCAAAATCCAAAGCAAAGCAGCAGTCAATCCAAATAGACTGATCAAACGCATTCCTTCTTCACTGATTTGCCATAAACACTGTGAATCCAATACTGCACATATCTTTTGACTGGCGAATTCAAACCAATTGCCTCCTCTTACTGACTAAACAATGAACAATGCAAATTCAACCCGAATCTCGGAATAAACCGCAAAGTACTGTGAAATTTCAACCTTTCTGAGAATATGCCCATAAAACCCTTAATTCCTGATTAAATGCCAAATAGCGTTCGCTTGATCAAAATTGAGCCAAAATCCATCAAAACCCTAAGCCAACTGTATGAAACAATCCAAAGCTCTGAAAATCAGTAAAAACCCTAATTTTGCTTGACTGTCAAGAAAAGTCCATTTGTCCGATTCTTGAGCCAGTTTGAAAAGTCAGGAAATGTATGAAGCTGAGATTTCTTGTGGAAAAGCGCGAGGGCAAATTTTGGGGTACAACACTGGTCACGGAGAAGACAGTTTGGATAGGCACCGACTCGTCAGATGGTCGAGCGTCTTCTTCTGGCTCCCTGGCTTCTTGGGCGTCACGACGGGGAGTGTCGCTTTGCCGGTACTGTGCGAGCCTTCCTCCCTTGATGAGGGTTTCAATGGCGTCCTTGAGGTGGACGCAATCCTCAGTCAGGTGACCATGGCTCCTATGGTACTGATAGTATTTGTTTTTGTCTGCTCCGGGCTTAGCAGGAGCAGGTCGGGGACGTTTGACACTGCCGTCCTTGAAGTCGGTGCTGGCACACTCCGCCAGGATGCACTCGCGGGAAGCTGTGAGCGGAGTGTACTCGGTGAAACGTCCTGAGGGTCCTCTTTGTTCCCGGACTTCCCGGGGTCTATCTTCTTTCCTTTTCTCCCCGGTTCATCGAGGAGGAGGCTCTTGGCGTGAGCTGTTGTTGGGACCACGAGTCCTGGAATCTCGGGCTCTTTTGGTCGCCTCCCTCTCCTCGTAGTCCATGTATGCTCGGGCCTTTTCGAGGAGGGCATCAAATGTTCGAGGTGGCTCGATACCCACAGCCTTTCTGACTTCTGTACCGGGGAGGAGCCCTCTCTCCAGCAAGTATCTTTTCATATGGTCCGCGCAGGGGACCTGTATTGCTTCCCGGTTGAAGCGGTTGATGAATTCCCTCAAGGTTTCATCCTGTCTTTGGATGATGGCCTCGAGGGCCGCCTCGGTCTTCGGATGGCGCCGAGAAGCTGTGAAGGAACTGATGAACTGGTTCTTCAGGTTCCGCCACGACGTAATTGAGCCCGGGGCGAGTCCTTTATACCAGTCCATTGCCGCCTTCCTGAGAGTCGTGGGGAATAGACGTCACTTGATGGGCCCCCCGACATTGTGATAATGAAGCATAGCCTCGAACCTGTCTATGTGGTCGACCGGGTCCGCGACTCCATCGTACTCTTTCAAGTGTGGGGGCTTCTCCATGCCCGGGGGGATGGGTGCCTCCATAATAGCCTGTGACAGGGGACCGCGGGGGTCGTCCTCGCCGCTTCTCTCCGGAGATAGAGATGGGGACCTGTAATATTGTTTGGCACGACGGTCTAGATCGTGCTGAGTTTCTCTCGAGCGGGATGCTCGGCTGTTGAATTTCACGCGCCCATCCCCGGAGTTCCTTCTTTCTAGTACCGCCGGGTCGCGACTGGGTTCTCCGGCCTGAATGACGGGCTGCCTCTCCAGGTACGGCCGTCTCTGTTTTGGCCGGGGAGATGGGCTTCGAGAGGTCTCCCTGTAGTGTCTCTGCGGGGGAGAAGGGTGTCGAGCTTCAGTCACTCGAGGAGGGGGAGTATGTGGTCTCCGATGCCTCCTCGGGGGTCTTCGCTCGTCTTTAAGCGCCTTTAATCTCTCTCCTTGGGCGAAGATGAGATAGTTCGTTTGATTAATTGCTGCGAACAGCGCTTGCATTGTGGCATCCGCCCCGGAGGGGACGGGGACTTCCTAGAACCGGGCGGCTCTGTAGTGGGCGAGGGCCGCCGGGTCGTCCTCGAGTGGTGGTGGGAGCGAGGAGGATGATGCAGTAGCTCCGTCCCTGTAGAAGGAAGTTCTGGGGACGGTTGTTGCAGGAATGGTGTTGTGGCCGGGATTGCCGGCGTTGTCGAGATGTCCATTTTTGTCCGCCGCGCCGTTATTAGTGTCGGCGACACGGACGTTCTGCTCATCGGGAGCTGGATCAGCCATGACAGGTAGTTGAATTTGAGCTTTGGTCTTGAGTTGTTTGTAAGACGGGGAAGCTAGTTTCCCCCAGACGGCGTCACTGATCTAACCTGATCAGACTTGGACCGTCACGGCTGGCTCCGAGCTGAAAGTTTTGAACGAGGTGGGGGGGGTACCTGCAAGACACTCTGATGCTGAAGTGAGTAAGAGCACAAGCAGGCAATAGTAAGAGTATGGGTAGAATGATGAATACCTGACCCTCTGGAAACAGAGGGTATTTATAGCCCCCAGCGCTGGGCCAAGGTTTCTTCATTGGGCCGGGCAGGTTTGGCCCAATGGAGGAACTGCCAGGTTCTACGTGCATAGTGGGGACCCGCACGTGGTCCCCTCCCTGGATGTTCTGCGTGAAGTGCGGGCGGACAAAGACGCGGTCTTTTCGGAGTCCCGTGAGAGTGTAGTGGACTGAGTCTGCCCTAAGAGGGGTGCTCGGGGTGATGTCGAGTTGGACAGTAGGCGATCGAGCAAGTAGCCTCAGGGAGCACGTCGGGCACGACTGTGACCCTTTGGTCGGCGTGGCCCCCAGCAAGTCTGTTTGGATTGGACCTTATCAATGCTATTGGGCCAGTCGGGCCCAGTCCAGAACAACATGTATAATAAAGTTCAACTCAAGCTTCCATCCTTAAATTGATTGATCTACTTGAAATGTGTCAATGTCATTATCTTCTACCAAACTATCCTTAGCACATAGTCATTATCACCTTTAACCTGAATAAATCAAACACCAAATTAATTAAAATATCCAAACATAAATCTATTTGAATTCAACTCTTTAGGTTAGAATCAATACGTGGATCCAATGCATATTCAAATAGAAAACTTTTAAGCCACTAGAATTAGCTAGTGACAACTGACAAAGTGCATGACTTGTTTACATGAGATCATACCTTGAAACCTCAGTCAAATTATCAACATTAGTTTACCATAAAAAACAAAATAGATATAATTTAAATCCTACATGTATCATAACATTGACTAATATAACATTTTGAACCAAAGTGAATTTTACATCTAATATACAAAAATTGAAGAGCGTGAAAGTTTTCAAAGACAACGACTGTGTAGTTCATATGTCAATAAAATATTAAATGATGGAACATATGGCATGTGAAAGAAATAAAAATTCAAAGAGAGCAAAACTTTATCATACTTTTAATATATTAGCAACTAAAATAAATACTAAGGTATAAAAAATTACCTAGATCTCAAGGCATGGAAACCAATAGAAACTTTTTCTTCTCCCTCAATGGAAGAGCTTTGAGAATCACTATTTTGTTTAGATTTTCAGTCAACTAATTTATTGCTCTATAGTGTAAAGTGTCATCACAATCAACAATCATCTCCAATTCATTCAACACTTCTTGCACCACTTCTTGAGCATTTCCTTCCATCCTTTTTTACTAACTTGCACAAAATCTTTCAACGACTCATCTACTTCTCTAATAGAGCTTATCATCCCTTCTTTGTCTCTACCTTTATAAGCACGACTATATTGCACTTTTTCTTTGTTGCGGAACTTGGTTCCTCTAAATCAATATGCACATTGGACCCTTCTTCATCTACAACCGCCTCTTTGCTCATGACATAATCTATATCAAATGCATGTTCTACTTGAACTCCATTAGCCCTATCTTTCACACATATGTCTACAATATCATTCCAATTCAGAATGACCTTAAATCAGAACCTTTTGGCTTCTTCATGTGACTTAAAAACAAAATAAAACAGTAATGTCAATAGCTTAAAATATGAGTGTGGAAAACTAAAAATTCCATGCCATATGTTCCCATATATCAATAAACAACATCACCCAACTCTAAAAAAATCAATTTATAAAATAACAATCAAATTTTTTTATTAAAGCCTATAAAAACGTGTATTCTATAGAAAATTTTCAACAAAACTTTCATACAACTGGTTGTTGCATCAATTATCAATTTCTTTATCAATTACCTTTTGCTATTGCATTATATAAAAATTGTATGATTGTATCTATGGATACTTCCTACTACAATATTCAGCATTATGTTATTGTGTAGGGTTTATATTTTTCACACATAACCTCTAAGCTATGACCTAAAATGTTCAGCAAATATGTTAATTTTGAGGGTAGCAAAAACTGTCATAAAAGTCCTAATGATTACTTACTAATGAATTAAAATCTTTCTGGTGTAGTCAAAGTTGTCAAACCATCAGTAACTGTGAACAATTCAAAAGAAAGCACGGGAAAACAATTCAAAGCAATTCAAAGAAGTGTCACTTATTCAAAGCAATTGACTAATCAAACACATCTGAATATAGTAATCAAGTTTATTATTTGCAAAGCTTGCTTAGTGTTGTTTTGACTAATCATCAAACATGTTTAGATGGTTTTCATGATGTAAATCCTTATCCAAAAATTAGAACTACCTTATCAAATCCTCTTTCTGATGAGATCAAACTTTATAGAAAATCTCTTGCTCTTGTCACTCATGGTTGGGTTAGCAATGATGTTAGAAGTTCTTCAATAGAGAACAATTCCAGTGAATAATAATAGAAAGTTATTACAAACAAGTGTTGACAATGTAATGGTGACACGAAAAGTGGTTGTTAACCCTGATGGATATGGAGATTTTTTCACTATAAATGGTGATGTGGATTCTGTTACTAATAAAATAGGTACCAACAATGGGTATCATGTAATAAAAAATCAGTTCTTAAAAATGAGATACTTAAAAATCAGTATCAAGGTAACTAAAGAGTAAAGACTCATTCTTAGCAATAAAAAAACTCCGGTACATCTAGCCAGCTACCCTGGATTAACAATGTAACAGTTCTTTATACGTTATTTAACAAAAACTGAACAAAAAATGGAATTGCATAGGCATCAAATCCAAATTCATGAAGTACACAGGACAATGTTTTAATCTACTTTCAAGAGACAAGACCATGACAAACAGCGAACCAACATATGATGATGAGAAACATAAATAGAGAACAAAAGACACGGATTAGTAAAGAAAAGAAAGGAAAAATGAATATCTTGATATATTATTTCCATGCATTTTCATCTTCAACATTGATCATACATTTTGTGCCATCCCAATCAAATTCACTTTGAGTTAGAATATCACTAACTATCCCATACCATCCTCTCCAAAGTTTGATGCAATTTTTGGCGTTCTCTCCTATAACTTGAACATCAAACCGCATAGACAAAACATCAGTTATAGCATTGTATGCTACTATTTTCCAAGCTTCGTCACTTTGGCAGCCTAAACTTCTTTAATCTCTAACTGTTTCAGCCAAAACATGATCCATGTCCAAATTCCATGTGAAGTAACCTCTTACATCATCTTTCTTATCCCCAACATTTCTTTCTTCTATCTTTCTTTTTCCCCCTGTCTTACAGCTCAAATTTCTTGCATTGGCTAAACTAGAATCCATTTCTTGAAATCAACTAAGCACACATGATAACAATTAAATCTCAATAATAAATAAACAAAAATATACTAATAATATATCAATAAAAAGTAGACACACGATATATATAAGACATTATTAGTAATCAAAAGTAGCCAAACAGTAAGATGTCAATCAAATTTCTAATCAACAAGACATTCCTTATAAAACAAAAGTAACAAAATGAAAAATATAAACTAACAACTCCTAATAAAGGTATGTTACAAATAAAATAAAAAAATCAATCTGAAGTCCAATAAGCCTAAGAAATATTTCTTCTCTTTTGATATTCAGCAAATATTTTCATCGCATATGCGTCATGAAATGTTGTCCACTCTTCAGTCACTTGAACGGTTGCGAAACTAGAATCCATTTCTTGAAAACAACTAAACACACATGATAACAATCAAATCTCAATAATAAAGAAACAAAAATATACTAATAATATATCAATAAAAAGTAGCCACGCGATATATAAGACATCATTAGTAATCAAAAGTAGCCACACAATAAGATGTCAATCAAATTTCTAATCAACAAGACATTCCTTATAAAATAAAAGTAACAAAATGAAAAATATAAACTAACAACTCCTAATAAAGGTATGTTACAAATAAAAAAGAAATCAGTCTGAAGTCCAATAAGCCTAAGAAATATTTCTTTTCTTTTGATATTCAGCAAATATTTTCATCGCATATGCGTCACGAAATATTGTCCACTCTTCAATCACTTGAACTGTTGCGACCTCATCCACACCATTAGTTGTTCCTCTTTCTGTTTGTTGGTTGGTTAACTCTTCATCAACAATAGATAAAAGATCTAAGTCTTGAGCCTCTAAAAATTGATCCCATTGTTTTTCATCTATTATGAAATTGTGCAACACAAAACAAGCATTAATAATTCTAATTTGTGTTTTTATATCAAAAAAAGAAGGAGTTATTAATATACTCCATCTTTTCTTCAATATCCTAAATAACCTTTCAATCACATTCCTTGCACTTGAATGACAAAGATTAAACAATTCCTTCTAATTTTGAGGAGTGTTTCCAACCCACTCTTTGAGATGATATCTATTCCCTCTTCATGGTGCTAAAAAACCAGGACCATTTATATACCCCGCATCCACAAGAAAGTATTTACCTACAATAATTTTTTTTCAAAATAAGAAAAAAACCATATAGTTACATTTGATCCACTAAATAAATAAAATATCAATCTATTACCTTTTGGAATTCGAAGACAATTTTGATGACGTAAAACATCTCGCAATACTCGAGAATCTCCTGCAGACCCTTCCCACCCCGGTAACACATAGATGAACCTTAAATCCAGACCACAAACTCGTAACACATTTGTAGATATGTCACCCTTTCTATTACGGTATCTAGGCCTATCTTCTGCCGCAACTGTTACTGAAATATGTGTCCCATCAAGTGCTCCAATTGAATTCTAAAAAAAAATTAAAAATTACTACAACTATAGATACCTAAAAAGGGTTAGAAGTTGTAAAACAAATTTCAAAATTACCTCAAACCATTTCCATTTATTTTCCTCAAGACCATCTAAATTATAATCGTGAAACTTCAAATAATCTCGGCTTACTTTCATAACAGCTTTAAGGACATTATTAAATTGCCTACTCACTGTTTCTTTCTATCTACGGTAGTTAAAGTGAATAACTCTATATTTTAAGTTGTGAGCAAGGATATGCAAAAACATTACCACAACTTTAGTTGTAGGAACATTTCTTGTCTTCACCACTGCCATTTTTCTTCTAAAATTCTACAAAGTTTAAAAAATGCCCCTTTACTAACTCTTAATTGCTCCATGCAATCAATTTCTGTTCCTCTATATAAACGGTTAAGGAAATTGCGCCTTTCCAATTCCCAATTTCGAGTTGGTTCCTTAACAAAATATTTCTCCTGATACCAAGCCATTACTCCTAATAGCGTAGTAACAACACTAACAAAAATTAATGTTGTTTCCTCAAGCTCTTCCATTTCTTCTTTATTTATTTTACACTTTATTGAAGTGTCGACTATACTAATGTCCATTTCTTGAAATAAAGGTTCTGTTATGAGCACATGGCAGAGTAACATTCATTTTATAAGTAAAAATAGTCATAAAATCCTACACATTGACCACTAGAGTTCAAAACTTAAAAAAGAGACAGCAAAATAGAATTTTACACAATGTTTTTTTCTATAACTCTTTGTATATAGTAGTTTTGAATATTAATGTAGAGAGATGATAGAAACATCTTTGACAGGGTGTATAAATATAGTACTGGTTTTAGCTTGAGGAATGAGGTGATGTTGAATTTTAGGCTAAAGAGGCTTAGGAATAATCAATCAAAACTAACCATGTGCTAAATATGTTTATTTGTTTGTTAAAGATAACTTAAAAATCTATATTCACACTTGTTTTCATACTACTAACATTTACATGTGACTGTAACAAAAAGAAACAAAAACATTAGTATAGCTTTTACCATGCTTTTTACAAATTCACCATAATATTATACATAGACTTAATTATCATTTTATGTATTGTTTGGTGATCCCAGTTTATAAATTTGACTGAATACAATTTATATGTCATTAAGAGAGAGCGAGACATGAAAATCTCATGGCATGCTTTGATCTAGTATGCCAACAATGGCAGTCCCTACTAAGAGATCCATTCATTTGTACTTAGAATCAAACAAATATTAATATTATGCTTGTAGCAATACCCTTAACCACATCAACAGGAAAATGGAAAATGATTTACAACAAATGAAAATCACATCATAGAGATATCACATCAAAACTGCAACAATAACCACAATGCTGCAGATTTTACTCACCATAACCACATTTTATGCAATTTCTTCTGCAGAAAAATGCTACTCCAACCTCAGTTTAAAACCACTATACAAACTACCAATGCATTTAACTCATTTTCATGGATTCAAAAAAGAACACCAACATCACATACTGATATACGAATCGTAAGAAAATGAACAAAAAAGAGCATGTAAAGCAGTGAGAATATGAGGTGCAAAGCATAGTAGATCGAAGCAGGAATGAGTCCGAGTTAACTCGGACGCGAAGAGAGTACCTAAGAAGAATACTGAGTAAGTGAATGGTCGAGATCTGAGTGCAGAGAGAACAATTGAGAAGACCTAACCAGAAGGAGAAAGCCAACGATTGAGAAGTTTCTCAGAGGAGAAAGTGTGAGATCTTAATCTCACACAAGAGACACCATGAGAGAGGAGTGAGCGAGATCTAAGCGCGAGAGAGAGAGATGAAATTCACAATTTTATAAAAATTAAATGGAATTGTAAATTATTCAAAATTAGTCATTGTAAAATATAGAATAAAATTCCATTAATTTAAAATTTTTGTCATTTATTTATCCAAACAACGGATTTTGATGAAATCATTTTAAATTTCCTTATTAAATTACATTACCTCACTAAAATATTTTATCCAAACACACTCTTAGTGTTTGTGAATTATTGTTATTGAAATGGAAGATCTTTTACATTGATATATCACTTAAGAATATAAAAGTGATAATTACTCTACATCATTATTCATCAACTTCATTTTCTTATATATTTTCCAGAATTGTGTTGTATACTCTTTTATCTAGGATTGTTGGAAACAAGAAAGTGGAAAAGAAATAATTGTTTTCTTTTTCTACTTATTTGGTTTGTATACCTTGTTGTCCAGGATTGTTGAAAGCAAGAGAGTTGAATTGGAGATGATTGTCTTATTTCAAATTGGTTGATCACAAGAGGATTGTTCTTGGTGATTTTGTTAGATAGGAAGACTAGGAGAGTCTTGGCCGTAAGATCTAACAATAATAAAATTTCTTACATGTGGTAAGAGGACTAGATGTACTCTTGAATTGTGAGGGGAACTAGGATAAATTTCTGGTGTTCTTTACTTTTCCACATTATACTTTCATCACATATTAAAACCTGAAAAGAAAGAAATACATTTCTAAAAACCAGAAAAAACTTATTACATCTAATTCACCCCCCTCTTAGGCGTACTATTAAACTTACAATTGACATCAGAGCAGATTATAGGTAACATGTTCCTAAAGATCTAAAATGGCTTTCGACAAATGCAAATCTGGTTTTCAAAGATGGTGGTAGCAATAACAAGTCTCTATTGTTTTGTAGTGAATATTTTGATTTTTGGAAAATACGCATGAAGGCGCATCTAGAATATCAATGAAAAGAAGTTTGCAAAGTAGTTGTAGATGGTCATTTCGTTCCTATCAGTATTGTTAATGGTGTTGGCACCCCAAGCCCGAAAGTTAATGGAATTAAGACGATGAAAAAAAGGTTCTCTATGACAAGAAAGCAATAAATTTTCTTCAAGAAGCACTTAGCATGGATGAATTCTTTCATATTTCGGCATGCACAATAATAAAATAAATATGGGATATATTGGTGGAAACTCATGAAGGAACTGTCGAAGTTAAAAGGTCAAGATTAAACACTTTGAGTCAAGAGTACGAGTTATTCAGAATGCAGCCCCGAGAATGAATCCTCGACTTGCGGAAAAGATTTGTGCATTTGATAAATCACTTGAAATCACTTGGTAAGACTCTTACTACCGACGGGATTAATCTTAAAGTGCTTATATCTTTAACTAGGGAATGACAACCAAAAGTGACAGCAATATCCGAGAAGAAAAATCTATCCAAAATGACTTCAACAACATTGTTCAGGAAACTTTAAGAATATGAGATAAAACGTGGAAGACTTGAAAAACATGAAATTCAAGTAAAAGATTCAAAAGAAGTTGCCTTAAAGACGAGAGTAAAAAATTATGATAACAATCAAGAGTGTGAGTCCAATAGTGATAAAGATGATGATATTATAAAGAAGTTTGAAAAGTTTCTAAGAAAAGAAAGTGATCTGACCTGATCAGAAGGTTTGGACCGTCACGGCTTGCTCCGAGCTGAAAGCTTTTTGAACGAGGAGGGGGGGTACCTGCAAGGCACTCTGATGCTAAAGTCAGTGGGAGTACGAGCAGATAATAGAGTTGAGGTTAGAATGATGAATACCTGACCCTCTGGAAACAGAGGGTATTTATAGCCCCCAGCGCTGGGCCAAGGTTCCTTCGTTGGGCTGGGCGGATTTGGCCCAATGGAGGAACTGCCAGGTTCTACGTGGGTAGTGGGGACCCGCACGTGGTCCCCTTCCTGGATGTGCTGCGTGAAGTGTGGGCGGACGGAGACGCGGTCTTTCCGGAGTATCGTTGGGGGAACGGTGGACTGAGTCTGCCCTAGCCGGGTAGCTCGGGCCCATGTCGAGCTGGGCAGCACGGTGCTGAGCTCGACGCCAGGGCCTGAGCTGGACGGCGGGTGTCGAGCTGGACGCCAGGACATGGAGCTGACGGCAGGGTGTCGAGCACGACTTCACCGCGTGGGTTGGACATCGGGATGTCGAGGTGGACATCAGGGTGTCGGGCATGGACGTGTCCCCCTTTTCCCAGTGTGGTCCTTAGTGAGTCCCTTTGGACTGGGCCTTAGTAATACTTTTGGGCCTGTCGGGCCCAGTCCAGAACAGGAGCCCCCCAAGTCGTGGTTCCTTTGCGAGGAGCCATGACTTGAAACCAAGTTGTTCCGTCGTTGAGGTCTCGTGCCCGGGATGGAGGTGTGGCCCTCGAGGGGCCTCCTCGTGTCGTGCTCGGAGACGTCCTCGGTGGTGGGTGCGTGGAGGATCTGTACCGGGTGCGTCGATCGAGCACACGAGGCATCTTTCGGGAGCTGTGCCGCCACCCTAGGGGGGTAGGGCCATCATTGCGTTGGGAGCAGCGCGTCGAGGAGATGGAGTCCGTGGTTGAACGAGGTGACGTTTGGTATTCCACGTCATCACTATAAATAGGATCCTTGGGCCCCATAATACGTTTCCGTTCTCTGTGCTCTCTCTGTTGCCGCTCTCAACACTTTTTCCAGTTGCGACTTCCCGTCTCAGATTCTTCATTTCTTAGCCAAATCCCAAACTTTGATCCAAGTAAGTGATCTACTTTCTTCATTTTTCCATTTTAGAATGCATGATTCCTGGAAATTGTAGATGTTTTAGGACCGTGCGCGTGGGATTAGCCAGGTAAACTCGCGTTTTGCCCGACATATTCATGTCTAGGACCGGCAAACGCATGTTTGTGGCCGACATATTCATAGTTTTAGGTGAAAAACTTCAGAGCTGCCCGGGGTCTTCATGATCCGGGGCGCCTGATTCATGACGGTGCCCGGTATGTTTATGGTCGTGGCCGTGGGCTTCATAGTGCGACTCGCCATGTTCATACCTCGGGTCGACATGCTTGAAGAGTGGCCGCGCAGTTGGTTTTGAGGAAGAACACTGGGTTCAGGAGAGTCGGGGAGACATCCACTTGTGAAAACGGACTTGTGAAGTCGTGTATGGGACGACAGGATTATGTCGAGCTTAGGACTTCGTGCTCAACTGATTGGTTTCCCGTGCTCTGCAGGTAACCATGGCGGACGAGCCGAGCTCCTCCGGACGTCGTGATCGCGAAGAACAGAGTGCCGATGAGTCGGCCACCCTTATAGATACCGTGACCGACCCATTGCTGGAATGGGTGGGTGTCGAGCCTCGGGGGACAGCGTCGATATATAGCCGGGATGACCGACATCCATTCACTGTTATTGAAGAGGGTCAGGACCAGCCCGACTTCCAGCAGAACTTCGTGGTCATGCTTCCGTCGACCAATGCAAGAATTTGCTCGGTGTATCCGAACTACAGCCTCGCGATGTATGAAATCGCGTTTAAAGACTTATGACTGCGACTGCCGTTCACTGATTTTTAGAGCGGGGTCTTTATGCACTTGGAGCTGGCCCCGTCCCAGCTGCACCCAAACTCGCTCACCTTCATTCGGGCGTTTGAGTTGACGTGTCGCTACTTGAGGATAGGGGCGACCATCCCTCTTTTCTTTCGGGTATTTCACCTACAGCGTCAGTCCCGAGGAGGGAAGCACAGCTGGGTGTCCCTGAAGCAGTCGAGGAGGCTGTTTAAGATGTATATGGACTC